AAGTTCGACGACGTGCTATACGAGCTCCGGCGCCGCGCGCGCGGCGCGCCCGGCTCCGCGCGCAACGCCGTCAAGTACCTCGCGCCGCCCGGCCGCAACGCGTCCGCGGCCTACGCCGCCGCGGCCGCGAACCTCCGGCGCTCGACGTCGTCGGCGTCGTCGAGAACTGGGACGCGTCCATGCGCATGCTCCAGGCGTTCCTCGACCCGACGCACGGCTGGCGCGGCTGGCACAACGACGACCGGCGCAACGTCCACTCCCAGGCCTTCTCCACGTCGAGCGTGCTGCGGCAGCTGACGTCCACGGACGCGCTCTGCCTCGCGGCCTACGTGTCCCGCGAGCGCGCGCTCTACGCGGCCGCCGTCGCCGCGCACCGCACGACCTGCCGGGCGCTCCTCGGCGCCCGCGACCGCGGCTGCCGCGCGACGATCGACTAGTCGTTACCCGCGCGCGCGCGCGGCGTCACTTCGGTTGCCTGCGGCGGGCGCGCGCGGGTCCGCGCGCGGCCGCGCGCGCGGCGAGACGCGGGAAGACGCGCGAGTCCGGCGCCTCGGGGTCGCCCCCGGGCACCATCATGGAGACGTTGTTCCCGTTGAGGAGGATCTGGTCCAGCTGCGTCTTCGCGCCGTCGCAGTACTCGGTCACGTCGTCGAGGACCTGCGGGCCGCGGCGTTCGGCGCGCGGCGTCGGGGGGTGCGGGGGGCGCCGCCGCGGCGCCATGTTGACGTACTCGTCGAAGCCGCGGAGCGTGCCGACGACCTCCTTGTCGCCCTTCATGATGACCCAGATGCGCGAGCCGATGCACTTGTCCACGAGCTCGAGCGGCAGCAGCCGGCCCGCCATCGCGTCGCGGGCGGCGGCGGCGGCGACGCGACGCGACGCGGCGGAAGCGCGGAAGCGCGATGCGGCGCGAGCGGTGTCGAGCGCAGCTCCGCGGCGCAAGCGCAGCAGAGGCTCGCGAGCTGCAGTTGCGTCAATTTCGACCTCGGCGCGAGGTATTGAACTTTCTGCGCGAGATGCGCAACTGGCTGGGCATCGCGCGCGCGCTGCTGTGCCTGCTCGTGGGCCACGCGAGCGTGACGAGCGTCAACGACTGGGTCCAGGGCGTGCTCGGCCCCGACGCCTGGAACTACAGCGCTCAGGATCTGGGGACGCCCGTCGTGCCCATCACCGACTCCGGCCGCAACCCCTACAAGGGCGTGCACCCGTCCGAGCTCGAGGCGCCCGTGGCGCAGGCGCTGCGCTACGCCCACGGCTACGTCGGCGTCCACACGCTCTACATCGGCGGCTGGCTCCTGTGGTGCGCGGCGACGGCGGAGCCCGAGAGCGCGCTCCACTGGCAGATCCCCCTGAGCCTCGTGGCCTTCGAGGCCGGCGCCTACGCGAACGCGCTGGGCTACTTCGACCGCGACACCATGGGCCACCCGCGCTGCAAGAACTTCTGGCACTGGCGGGGCAGGTGGGGCGACCACCCGCGGCGAGCGGGGCGGGAAACGGGCGCGAAATTCCCAACTTCGACCGTGTTCCACTCGTTTCGGCCGATTTTTGGACGAGCGATCATCCCTCGGAGCGGTCTCGCAGCGTGGATGCTTTTTTGAGAAGCGCGCGCGCGGAACGCTCACGTTGTATCACCCGTTTCCCGCCCAGGTGGCGAGACGACGCGCACTACCACCACGCGCGCGCCCGCGACCGCTTCGACCCGACTTCAACGTGCGCGTCCTCGAGAGGCGCGCTCGGCGCCGCGTCGGGCGCTCGGCGATCCGTCCGAAGATCGGCCGACGCGATCCTCGCGAGCGACGTTCGGCCGCAGGTCTTCCTCTCGTCCTTCTACGAGTGCATGGAGGGCATGAAGACGTTCAAGCCCGTGCTCTACTTCGACCTCGGCACCTTCGCCCTCGCCTTCCTCGGCCTCTACCCCTGGCGGCCCCGGAAGAAGAAGCCGGCGGCGAAGGCGAAGGCGGAGACGCCGGCGAAGCCCGCGGCGGAGCGGGCGGCGAAGCCCAAGGCGGCCTAGGCGCGCCGTTAAAAAAACCGACGTCAGAACCGCATGCCGCCGAGGCAGAGGTACTTGTCCTCGAGGTACTCGTCGATGCCGTGCGCGCCGCCCTCGCGGCCGAGGCCCGACTCCTTGACGCCGCCGAAGGGCATCGCCGGGTCCGACACGCCGCCCTCGTTGACGCCGACGATGCCGAACTCGAGGCGCTCCGCGACGGCCCAGGCGTGGGCGAGGTCGCCGCAGCAGTAGGCCGCGAGGCCCGCGGGCCCGTCGTTCGCGAGCGCGACGGCCTCCGCGTCCGTCTCGAAGGTCCGGAGCGGCACGACGGGGCCGAAGGTCTCGTCGACCCAGAGCGCGCTGTCCAGGGGCACGTCGGCGACGATCGTCGGCGGGTAGAACGCGTCCCGGAGGCCCGGGAGGGGCCACGCGCCGCCGACGAGCGTCCGCCCGCCCGACGCGCGCACGCGCGCGTCGACCTTGGCCGCGGCCGCCGGGTTGATCAAGGGCCCGATCATCGTGCCGTCGTCGAAGCCGTGGCCCACGGGCAGGGCCGCGATGCGACGCTCGAGCGCGTCGACGAAGGCGTCGACTTTGGACGCGTGCACCAGAAACCGGTCCGCGCCTGCGTGGCCATCGACCGGTGAGCCGGGACGTCGGGGCCGAACTTCAGAAGTCGATTTGGCTGGTTTTGGGGACGAGTCGTGTGCTCTCGTCGAGCGCTCGAAGCGCGGCCGAAGAGTCTGGTCCGACCGTTCGACGACGCGCGCGTTGAAGAGTCTGGTCCAAACCGTTCGACGACGCGCACGTTGAAGTCGGGTCGAGGATGCGAGGTCCGCGCCGGTCCGCGCAGACGCACGTCTGCCCCGCGTTGCGGAACTTGGTCGTCATCGCCGCGTCCGCGGCGACGTCGACGTCGGCGCTCTCGAGCACGAGGAACGGCGCGTTGCCGCCGAGCTCGAGGGACAGCACCTTGACCGTCTCCGCGCAGCGGCGGTAGAGCCACTTGCCGACGGCCGTCGACCCCGTGAAGCTCAGCGCGCGGACCTCCGGCGCGTCGCAGAGCGCGGCGCCCACGGGCTCCGCGTGGTCCCGCGACGACGCCAGCACGTTGAGCACGCCCGCGGGGAAGAGGCCGTCGGCGAGGCGCGCGAGCGCGAGCGCCGAGAGCGGCGTGTCCTCCGACGGCTTCACGACGACGGGGCAGCCCGCGC